TATCAGGGGTCACTATAACCTGTGTGTTGAAATGAGGACAACAAGCAGGACAATCTCTTAGAAAAAAATCAGGATATTATGAAACCTATTTTAGTATTTCTATACAAGGTAAACTCTGCATATAAGTAAATAAGGTAATAATAAATTCATGACATTTGCTTCTCTAACAGTTTCTCACGCCACATTTATTCCACAATGCCAACTGTTAGATACGTATTATATTAACCATAAAATATATTAATCTAACTGTACATATTACTCTCATCATTTTGATTTTTGTCGATATTGCTTCAGTGTTTGCATTAGTTTAAATCAAATTTTTCAAAAATTCCTGTGAAATGCTGTTGAAATTGATTTATCTTGTTCAACAAATATTGTTTCGTTTTCTTTTTAAAACTTCAAGATAGTTTAAGTAAACTATTGAGTGTAACATACAAAATTGTTAAATATCCAAGGGGGAAAAATAAGACTTGAATAGTTCGAAATATGAATGAAGTATTCTACTTCACTTTTAATTTGTAGTATTGAACGGTTGCTTCGTCTCTTTTGCATATACTTCTTTGAATATTTTGCTTGCATAACTTTTCTCAAGAAGTTTTGCATGATTACAACTTCATTTATAGAAATTGATTTTATTAAATGACAATATGCTTTAAAGCATAAATTATGAAATGTATCAGAACATAACTTAAATCTTAACGAAGTATATACAAAATAAATTGACATAGGATTTCATGATGATTTAAAAAATTTGATTCAAAAATGATAAAAACACTAGACATTAACAAAAAAGCGATAAGTGCCGTTCTTTATGATCTATCTGATATAAATAACAATTGCCAATGCAAAACTAATTACTTTGACACTTCAATGAGTTCAAAAGGATAAAAAAAAAAAACTACTTAAAATCGTTTATGACACAACAATCATTTTAATAAAAACCACGAAAATAAATTAAATATAATGCAAAACATATCATTAAAGTATAGACATAGTCTTATGATGATGGATTATAAAATATCACTGCGATGCTTCAATTATTCTAAAAAATATGTCAAATTGTTTTTTCAAACTTTTATAAATCACATTATAACTTGAATACGAACAAAAGTAGGGTAGATGATTATGCACATAGACAGTATGAACTGTCGAATGATGTACACATCATTAGATTAGATTTTGATATAGAAAGTTCTTCTTTAAGGAAATACGTGAAATTCATAATTTTTTGTTTTCAAGTCAATTTTCTTCCATGATACGTAATAGAATTCGACAGTGTATATATATATACACCATTCTTTGATCATACATCAACATATAATTTATAATGGTTTTTTGATGATGAATTTAATGTATTCGTATATTTTGGATCGATGTGAATGATTGTCAAAATATCATTTAAAAAATTGATTTTGAATTAGTTTAATCAAAGAATTTCATTAAGTTATTTTAATTAATATTAAATTTACTTATAGAAGACATGAAAAATAAAATCATCTTTGTTATTAACTATAAAAGAAAGACAGAATGTTTTTTCTATTTCTTTTTTTTTTGTATAGATTTATGTAATCTCAAGTGTATTACATTAGTGACTATGTAGCTTGAAGAGAATATATCAACAAGAAACAGAATAGAGTATTCGCAATAAATATTATGTTTTGTTAATGAATAAATTCAAGTTCGCAATAACAAAAAAAAAAAATGTGAAGAGAAATATAAAAAATTCTTTAATAAAAAAATTTTTTTTTTCCACATCGATTATTCTATGATTGTGTATCGTCATTAATTAAACTTAGTCTTGAGATAGTCAATCAATTATCATGACCTTGATTTTTTTTTCTTGCTATGTGCAAATCAACAACACAAAGCTTTATATTAAATAATCAATAAGGTCATCTAGTTGAAAAAAAAAGCTTTGAACATTTTTTTCTTTTTGTGTTTAGATCGAATTCATTATTAATTAGTTTTATACTATAGCTAAATCACATTTTGATTGTTACAATTCGTTTGTTCTTTTTTTGATAATTCATTCATTTAGTTATAATTATTGTCTCATCAAAATATCAATAAGAAAAGAAATTTATTGTTTTTGTGTTTTTTTTTCAGGTTCATTTTTGCTTGCTCTGTTTATAAGTCTTCTCCAGATCAGTTCGTATAATAGTTACAAGAAACAAAAAACAAAAAAAAGAAAATGAAGGAACCACATGCATACACATACATGTATGAATTAAAGGAATATGAGAGTATAGCAAGAACAAGTATTTATTTATTCTTCTTTTTTTCTTTTTTTTTACAATGATAATCTGCCTAAGAATAAAGTTCGGTGAGAATTCTTGGTTTCGTCTTTTAACCTGATTTGAAGAGTAATATAGCAACTTGGCCCAAATAAAAGTAAATGAAATGTTTGGTTTCATGAGTTACATATGAACCAAAATTACGTCCGACAATACTATTTAAAAAACAAAAAACAGATATGAAATTAATATTATATATATATTGTTAATTTACCAATGCCATGTTGGATTATATTTTTTATCGAATTCCTTTTTAATATAAGCGGCAATATCTTTTTCGATATTGTATTTTTCAAGTGCTTGAGTTGCAATATCAACTAGAAAAAAAAAGAGATCAAATATTTAATTTTAAAGTAAATTATGACAATAATAATACTACACTAACCAGCATCTTGTTGCATGTCTTCTGACATATCAGCATTTTTAATAACAGCTTTGCGATCAGTCATTGTTGCTTATGTTGTGTATTTGAATGTCTATTGAATAACAAAAAAAAAACTTGTATTATGATAATCAATCGACACACATTTACATTTGAACTCACTTCAAATTACGAAGACGACGAAAAGTGAAGCACAAAGTAAATGGTGGCTCTATTTATATAAGATGCGGTGAGAAAGAAAGAAAGAGAGAGAGAGAGAGAGAGAGAGAGAGAGAGAGAGAGGGAAAAGAGAAACCTAATATCTTGTCGTACAATCGCACGCACCCGTAGAGAGAAAGAGAAGAATAGACGACCAACCTTTCGAACAATAAGCTATGGCATACAACAAGCAAGCTTTACATACATACTATTGAGCAAGGCAATGGTTGCTAAGCAATGTGACCATGTTCTTGCTGTAGGGAAGCGCGAACAAAATTAATCATTCTTTAAGCATAGATGGCAGCAGTTATTGAAAACAAAAAAAAAAGATTTTTGCATAAAAACGAGAAATATTATTAAACGACAAAATTATTATAAAAATTTTTATGATTATTTTAATAGATACTTATTGATATCATACGTTTTCAAAGATTTCTGAAAGGATTTGTCATAATAACATATTTAATAATGGCTTCTCTATTTGAAGTATAAACATTATCCGTTGATAATAGTAGTGATAGATCCAAAAAATTTTGAAGGAGATAGCGAATGGACACAAGTTATTGATGTTTTTTTTTTCACATTTTCTATTATCAATTGTTCAAGTTTATGCTGCAATCTATGAAAATAAAAATAACTAAGAAACAAATTATACAAGAAATTTTTCGCTATTAAGATGTTGTTTGATATCAATGCAAATTATGGAAAATGCACATATATCATAGATACTCCATTCAGACGATTCGTACCTATGATACTTTGAAGGTATGACTTTATCAATTTTAATACCGAAAAAAGATTTCCTCGCCTATGGCTGTTGTCATCGATAACATTACATAAATTTCCAAAAAAAAAACAAACTTTGAAGTACCATTGTGCCGAATATGAATTAAGTAGATCTTTTCACTGAATTTCATACTTATTAATCATCAGCAGGACAAGCACAAATAGACTGTTAGTATGAATTAATATTTTCATGAGTATTTTATTTTTTGATATGAAAAAAAGTCAGTTTAATTTAAAGTCGATAGTACTTGGTTTTTTTTCTATTAAAAACATTGAAGTAGGAGAGTTTTCTTAACTTTCACATTTTTCTTGTCTATCTGGAAATAAATTCATATAGTCAATAAGATGGTATCTTAGAATTATAATTGGCTAGACATTCACTGAATCTGAACCTTCGGTTCGGCGTCAGTCCTAACTGTGGTTATTTTCTAATAATTAATAAAAGAAAATCGAATTAATTTATAGACATTCTACAAGAAAGTCAACAATATTCAAAACTATCCGAACTCAAACTCTTTAATATGTCGTCATGATTGTCTATATTGCTCAAGAAATGCTTGGGCAATCATGTAAATACTTGACACTGTCAGAACTGGTTGAATAGTTCTAGAATAATAAATCAAAATTCAAGTTTGATGTGAATCTATAATCGATCAACTTAAAATGATTTCTAGATTAATGAAACACAATTT